TTATTGGTGTCTGAAGAAGAGGTGGCCGCAGCCTTCAAGGCTAAGACAAGGAGGGGAGAGGCTGCTCTCCCCAGCCTCAATACCAAGAGACACTCCTCTGTTTCTGAGTCTCCCAGAGCCCCATCACCTCCATCGTCTCCTCCTCCAGTGTCTTTAGATGGGGTGCATGGGTTCTTTCTAGAGCATCTTCCACTGACGTGTCTTTGGGGCCATCAGTCCATGTTCCAGGGACAATACTGTCAGCTCTGGAAAATTCAGGTTTGGGGACAATGCTTCCTGACCTTGTGGAGACTCGTATCTGCTCTCCTGCCTCAGTGGGTCTCCATTCCACCTCAGTGGGTTTCCTGTCCACAGGATCCACAAATTTAACCTGGCGGGGGAGCAAGGGTGCTTCGCTGGGCATCATGGTTCCCCAGTAATCCTTGGTCTCACCAACATAGTGGTAATGTGCGTTCAGCCCCTCCGGGACCACCCCGTTCATCTTCAGCATCCTAGATACGAAAGCCTGGAGTCCACAGCACTGATGTCATTAAAAAGTACTTGTGTTCAGCTCCTCACATTATACGATTCATAATGGGAGCAAGCATGGGTAACAGAAATACTAACAATTTTTATAATTTCTAGGTATATGGTACAATGTTCCCGGGGTGTGTGGGAAGGATTTCTGAATCATCTGGAAGGTTTTTCAAACAGCATGTTTCCCCTTCAACACCTTCCTAGGGTTCTGGTTCACCATTCTCCTCCACCCCCCACCCCCTGACCCCAACATACACACCTCCTCTGGGGACATACTCTTTTCACTCTCCCACCCAAGGGCCCACAGTGAGACGCTGTCATTGATGGGAGTGATAAAACCCTTAGAGCAAAGGATAGTTCCTTAAAGTTAAAAAAAAAAAATCAGCTTTATGAAAAAAATGTACCACAATGCCTCCACTTTTCTCCTTTTGCAAAAAGCTGGAGAAAATGTTGTCATGAGTCTCACCGGTCAGCAGATTTGCAACTGGGGACCACTGCATTCTCCTCTCCCATCTTTCGACTCAAGAAAATTCTACAGGTAACTCCCCAAACTGGAATGTTTTCCCCAGGTTTTTGTGTTATTTCCCCAATGCCATTTTCCACCCTGGTACCCTCTCCTTCCACTGCCTCCCTAATGTTCTCTCTTCTCCATCTGAATTTCACAATCTGAATAACAGAATAATTTCCTCTTCCTCCATGAAGCCTTCTCTCATTATTTTAGTCCACAATTGCAATCTCGCCCTTCTCTCCACTTAGCATCTCATGACTGAGCTCAAATTGTGTTCAGTTTGTTGGTTCCACCTTCATATCTAAATGGCAAATTCTTCCAGGTCATGGGCCGTGTCTAAAACTTCTGGCACATAGCTGGCACAGGGCCACATAATAGCAGATATGCACTCTTTCAATCATCCATCAAACACACGGCATGTCTCCTAGATTCCAGGCCACGTGTCTGAGCTTGAGACAGTCCTTCCCCAGGAGGAGTCAGAGTCAATTTGGGTCTCAAATCTGGAAACGGATAATTAAAATAAAATCCAATAAGTGTTACACCTTGTGAAGAGTTCACAAATTCAGCAAATGATCCATCAGAAGAAGTGAGAAAGCTGCATTCTCTATTTCCTCTTTCGCAAATCTTCTCTCTGGATAAAACTCAAGGGTTGGTAAAATAGGTGAAAAGTGGCTATAACTAGACTCCCAAGTTATCCTGGGCCCCTGAGAAATCGCGGAGCCAAGGCCAAAGGGAATCCATTTCCTCCCCAGTCCCTTTGATTAAGAAGAAAAAGAAGACGAATTGGTAAGAAACTGTAGCCATTGTGCAAAGCTGCCAGCGGTCCAAGAAAAACACAAGGCCACGTAAGTAGATAAAAAAGGTGAGACCAAGGAGGGGAGAAGAGCTGGCTCTGAGTGGAACAATGATCTCACAGACACTCGGGAAGGAGCTTGGCTGAGGGAGGGACCGAAGCAGGAGCTCAGAGCACTTGGGGAGGGCTGGAACCTCAGAGCAGCTGGGCAGAGGAAGCAGGGGGCCAAAGAAGAGGAGAAGAAAACAGAAGGACAGCTTGCCTTTTCCTCTTCAGTCTCAGCCGTGGCTAGCTCGGCCGTGGCTTTCTGCCCACCAACTGGCAGTTTCAAGTGGGAGACCAGGATAAAGCCCCTGTCTCTAATGAGTCTGCTTCTAAGATTTCGGGACACTTGGCCCATCCTTCAGTTACTCAGGGAGCCATTTCCCAGCAAGAGCTCTCACAGAGGGCCTCTCCAGCCCGGGCTGCACAGCCCCTGCTCAGTCTTGTACCCTGGAGCCCATGCTACAGAGCCATGGACTCAGAGTCTGTCAGTGAACACCCGGGTCCTTGCCCAGATTCACCACTAACTGGCATGTGGTCCTGCGCCAGCCCCTTGGGGAGTCTTGTTGTAAACACCAGGATTGGGTTAGATGTCCTCTAGGGTCTTTTGCAGCTTTGAGGTGCTAGGAGTTCAATAGTCTCAAACTGGAAAATCAGCTCCTCCTGGAGGTGAGATCAGAAACATGGCGCCAAAGGACAAACGTGTGGGGACGCCTCAGCCCTTTTTGGGGGAGATAATTTTTTTCATCCTTATTTATAAGGCCAGTATAAATCATTGCCTATGCTTGTGAACAGTTTCAGAAAAGCTGCACTGGGTCTTATTTTTATCAGACCTATCTGGTTTTCCAAGACCACATCTGTTGGGTCCTAGAAATGCTCAGATGTCACAGAGAAGCCTAGGCTACTACAGTTGGCAAATCCTGGGAAGTTCAGAAACTCTCTACAGCCATGTAGCTGGAGAGCGGCCAAGTCTGGACTATAGCCAGCCCTCCGCTTCCCCAGCAGGGCCAGCTCAGGCCTCCCCTCTCCTAATTCCATCATCAAATGTTCACGAAGTGCGAGCCATATATTTCGCACAGTACTAGAGGTTGTGGAAGAAGCTTGTCCTCAGGGAACTTCTGTTCCAACTGGAGAATAAAATAAATGTTCACAACGCAGTAGCATGAGCCATGGTCCAGGGTAGAGCTGACGAGTCCTACAACACGAAGAAAAGAAAACTCACTTTTCCTACCATTGGGCCTCTGCAGAAACTACTTAGGACACATTAGGAAAAAGAGCAGACAGAAGGCCAAAACCAGAGTTGAGGAGGAGAGGGGCTAGGTAGAAGGGGAGGAAAATGATGTGGTCCCAGTTCTGCTGGAGGATTGAAATAATAGTAGCTGTTATTATCCCCTTTCAAATGACCTGCCTTTGTCCAAATTAAACATTCACATGAGAAATGTTCACAGTGAATCTAAAGGAAAAGATCAGATTACGTAACAGTATCAACAGTGTGATTTTCACAAGGAGGCATTTCTTTTGGGAGGGGAGATAGGCAAACCTTAACTCAAGAAGATTTGGGACTATGCTTAGTTAAAAATGAGAGTGTGTGCACGTGGTTGTACACTGCAAAGTTTCTCAGTCGGCCCAGAGCACAGGACACACTTGTAAACTCACGGCTGGATTGTGTTAGAGAACAAAAAATAAAAATCCTTTGATTTTCTTCAAAGCTCTCCTTTACCAGTGGTTTTGTTTAGAAACCTTGCTGGACCGGCTACACTTCCTTCTTGTCGGTTGCATGTTTTTTTAATTAATCAGTGGTTAGGCTATTCAGTGACTAGCTGTACTGACAAGGATTCTCTTTTCCTTTATTTCACAGTAGCAGCATGATTTTTCCCCCCTCTTCTAATGTCTTTGTTGAACAAACAGCATTTCAACAGGAGTAAATAAAGTATTTTAAGAAGAGATATCACCACAAATGAACACACCCACCACCCACTGTTTTCATTTTTCATGTTTTTTTCCTCTTTCTTGTGTCCATGCTTATGGATTTTTACCTAATTAAAATCATACTGTTGATACAGTAATGTAATCTGATTTTTTCCTTTAGATTACACTGTGAACATTTTTTGTGTTTCCACAGACGTCACGATTATTATTTAACGGCTGTATAATATTCCACAGGATGGACGCTCCATTATTTGAGTTAGCCATTTCCCTGTTTCTGGACATTGAGATTGTCGCCAACCTCTCACTGTTATTGAGCTCATCCATTAAGAGTCAATTTTTACAGAGACATAAAGAATGCCTTTGAGGCGATTGTCTTCTGGAGGATGAAATACGCAGCTCCAGCTACATTGTGTTTGTACCAGATAAAAAGATGGCGCCCGGACTATAAAGGGCCCTGTGTGGATGGTTGGCAGACAGCAATTTTTCCTATGTCAGGACAGAACTATCACAAATAGTTTGTAACTGACACACACAATGACATTCATTTTCATGATTAATTACCAAAAAATTAGAAGTACTACTACATGGTGCCAATTCTAGCTTCCTCTTTTCTGTCTTCTTACGCCAGAATTGCATAAAAGGGGCCGACATTGCCAGCACTTTCTGCATTAGACTGCTAATTAGCATCCCTTAATTTGGCTTCTGAGCATCAGTGACAGATGCCAAGAGGAATGTGCGGTTCTCTGGGCAGAAAGAAGAAGGCCTCTTGTTGGCTCTAGGCTAGCAGGTGTCAGGGGTACATCTAGCAGGTGTGTGTCAGGGGCGGGTAGATATAGCAGCTGGGGGGCACGGTATACATAGCAGGTGAGGAAGGTGGGCTGGGTACTGAGGGTCACTGGCTATTCCCATGTCCTCCTGAGACAGGAATGAAGCGAGTCCATGAAGAAGCATTTCACACCTTGCAGGAGAGGGAGGAAGGTTTGGGATGGGGTTGGCAGGGGTCACACGCGCTGGATGGAGAAGGCAGCGGCCAAGAAGGCTACTGCGGGAATCCCGGCGAGGAGGGCGGGGCTGCAGGGCGGGCGGGAGGGGACCGCGGGGCGAGCTGCGGCGGGGCAGCGGGGACCCGGGGCGGCGCGGGGCGGCGCGGGGCGGGGCCCGGGGGGGGGGGCACCCCGGGGGCGCGGGGAGGCGGGGCCGTGCGCGCCCCGCCGATCCCGGAGCGGTGTCCCCGCGCGCGTCCCAACGCGTCCAGTGCCGGCCGCCACACTGTCGCCGCGCCATGCTCCTGCTGCTCGGACTGTGCTTGGGGCTGCCGCTCTGCGCGGGGTCTCTGGGAGAGGCGCGGAGCTGGGGTGACACTTCGGAGCCCGTAAGTGGAGATCTGGGGGGAGCCAGGGAGGCCCCGGGCGGGGGCTGCCGTCCCTTCCCATGGCCTTCTCGGGCGCCTGGCGGCTGGACAGGCCCCCTTTGAACAGTCCTGGACGTGAGGAAGGGAGGGGTCACACCCCATCTCCTGTTACAGCATCCCCCTTTCTCTCGGCTCCCCAGCCTTCTGCTCGGGAGCTTCCCCATCTGTTGGTCCCTCGTGGCGAGAGAGTCTGGCTGGTGAAGTTTCCTGCAGAATTGCACCTAGGACTTCAGTGTCCTGCAGACCCAAATCTTCTTGGCTTCTGTTATCTGTACAGATTTCTGCTAGTTTGTTGTTGTTGTCGTTCATTTCTGAGCCAGAGCCCCTAGTTAATCACAACGTTCTTCTTTAAGGCACAGGTGTGGGGTAGTTTTGTGTTACTGTCTTTGCTAGTAGTTCCGGAGAGAAAGCACCATCTAGGAAAAGCTCCAGGCTCCTGGAACCGTCTGACTCCTCATCGGGTTCTTATCAGTGGTCCTCCGATGGTGGGCGGAGGACCAGGGACCAGGGACTCACTTCCCCTAGTTAATATTCTGCGCATCTGCCAGAGTTTGTGCTTTAAATGACTTAACCTCACAGGTGGATAAAACCTGCAAGTATGAAATCTTAATACGATGTCTGAAGAATGGAAAAGCTTTTTAAAAAATGTGAAACGAGTTCACACAAATATCAATGTAAAGACCTTATAGAGAGAAATGGCTGTGTCCCAATCAGTAACTAGTGCGTCTCTACATCCCCTGGTGCTGTTTACACACATATCATTTAAATTATATTTAAATTGTTTAGCTTAAGACGTGTTTTCATGCGGTGGGAGGAAGAAATAAGCAGGCATGGGCTTCCGCCACGTTTCTAGCATCTTGGTGTGAAGACTAGAATCCCCCTAAATAAACATCAGCTGGTTACTCCTGTTGACTCAGCTTCATGGATATGCTTATCTGCAAAAGGGAAGAAATGGCCCTTCTCTTGTAGGGTTGTCAGGAGGAACACCCATAAAAATTCCAAGAGGCTGTGCGTGGCTGGGGTGGTGCAGGCTTTGGATCCAGAGACACTGGTGGTCTTTACTCTGCCCTTTACAGTTGTGTGGTCTGGACGAGCTGCGTCTCTGTGAGCCTTCCTTTCTGGTTGGTCACAGCACGGAATCCACCTCCTTTGGGGCATGCTTGTAAGGACTCAGCTGCTAGTCTGTGTAGAGGCCTGGTATACAGTGGGCGCTCAATAAATGGCAGGTGTTTTAGTACGCGGTTAAGGGCGTGGGCTTGGTGCCAGGCTGCCTGGGTTGGATTCCTGATTCTGTCACTTAGCAGCAATGTGGCCCTGGGCAAGTTACTGGAAGCCTCGAGGTCCAATTCTATGAAAGGTGGGAAATAATTGGGTGAGGACCGAGCAGTTAATACACCTAAAGTACTTGGAACCGTGTCAGCACTTGGGCAGTGGAAGTGCTGAGAGAAGGAATTTAGGGGAAAGATCTTAAAACTTTTTGAGGGTTGCTGGGAGGAGAGTGTGGGAAGAACTGAAACAAAGATTCTGTTTGTGAAGTAGGAGGGGGGATGAAACCTCTAACATCTGTCTGTGCAAGTGGGATTAACTCACTCAGTTTGCCTGCCTGGAAAAACATGGGTCTGGCCCATTTCGGTGATTTCATGCCGTCTTCAACCCACGGCACTATTTATTCATCTTGAAAATGACTAAACCAGACAAAAACTCCAACATAGCAAGTTCTGTGAAGATTTGCAATTTTGCCTTTTTATCCCTACTCTATTAAAAAAATGTATGTGCGTGTGATGTAGGGTTTAAGGCCCCACGCTCCGGAACCAGACTTCCTGGGTTCGAATCCCGGCTCTGCACTCACTGGAGCGTTCCTTACCATCTATGACCCTCTATTTACCCATCTCTAGAATGGAAATGATGAGGTGACTTAATTCAAAGGATTTTGAAGAATAAACAAATTAATGTCCTTAAAGGTTAGAACTGTACCTGACAATGTAGTCAGTGTTCTATTCTCCATAATTATGGTCTTCAAAATTACATAAAAACTTAATTTGTCTTATGTGACTGAACGTGCCTATTAATTTGCTTTGAGATTTCAGAGATGTTGTCTTATTTGTCCTTTATCTTTAATTGGAAATATGACTAATAATATCTTAGATTCGGGTTCCTTGCTGTTCCCTCTGTCTCCCCCTCATCTGTAAACAATATTACCCAAAGTGAGAACACTTATAAGCAGTAGTTTTCCGACTTTTGTCTGCAAAAGGACAGTCGGGGAGCACATTAACCACTCGTATTCCTGACCCCCCACTGCCGTCAATACAGATCCGTTAGGTTTGGGGTGGAGTCCAGATAATTCGGAGGCAGGTGATCCATGGACCACATTTAGAATAATTTTGCTTTCAAAGAATCTTTCAGGAAATTAGTATTTAAAAAGTAGTCTCGTGTATGAAATCAGCTTGCTACAGATTTATCTGATTTGTGAGTTTCAAACTGATATGGTTTCTTTCAGTAAGGATAGGGTCGTATTTCTGTTATTACAAAATCAACTTTTAATTTACAAAATAATAATAGCCACCAATTATTAAGTGTCCATAATGTCCCAGAGAGTTTGCTAGGTGCTCTAGGTCAAAATAATAAGAAGCAATAAAGTATATAGTTAAAACCACTCCAAGTGGAGCCAGACTGTCCAGGTTCCAACCTGAATCCTGCCACTAACTGGCTGTGTGTACTTGTGCAAGTAACTTAACCTCTCTGGGTCTTGGTTTCCTCATCGGCAGGATAGAGTTGTTAATGCTCCTACCTTATAGGCAGGGGTGGATTTAGATTTTGAGAGGAGAGTAAAGTTTATACAATTTGCAGGGCCCTCTTGAAGAAAAAGAATATCAAATGATGACTACAAAATTAGGTGCTACAGTGAACATTCAGGGGCTGGCACCGAGGCTGAGTGGTTAAAGTTCACACACTCCACTTTGGCAGCCCAGGATTCACCAGTCCGGACCCTGGGCGCAGACCCAGCTCTGCTCCTTAAGCCATGTTGTGCTGTGGTGGCGTCCCTCATAGAAGAACTAGAAGGACTTACAACTAGGATATGCATCTGTGTACTGGGGCTTTGGGAGAAAAAAAAGGAAGATTGGCAACAGATGTTAGCTCAGGGCCAATCTTCCTCACCTAAAAAGCCTGCAAAAATAAAAAACAAACCATAAAGTGAACATTGATTTAGCAGGATAAATAAATCACAGCAAATGACACAAATATGTGTCAAACACCACAAATATCACCCATTGTTAAGGGACTGCACAAGGTCAGGGATCTTGAAGCTTACATTTTGTTTGCTTCTGCATGATAATAAAGTATTAAATGAAAAATCATAAACCACTTCTACTCTTATGGTTGTGGTGAGGATGAAATGAGTTAATTCAGGCAAAGCCCTTGCGTGTGGTAAGCACTAAGGTCATACTAGCTCTTTTTATTATTTATGTGCAGTCTGGTTAAATCTCTGACTGCCGCTGCAAGGACAGTCTAAGCATGCAATGGAAGTCCCCCCGGGGAAGGGACGTCCCCAGCGTCCTGTGTGCAGAACCTGGATTGGAACCCAGGTGTGCTGGGTGCCAAAGCGAGGATATGAGGGACTCCTCCGAAGACCAGGCCACTTTCCTATTTATAATATAATGCCATTTGTTTCAATGTGACTTTTATTTGTAGCTCCTGGCACATAGAGACTGTTCAGTATATGCTTGTGGTACCACATCGATTGTGGTGATACTGTCTGAATCGAGAATTTTCCCGGCGTTTTAATTTTTTATAATCTCACTCAGAACCAAATTTTTGCATTTGAGAAAACACAGAGAATCCAGGCAACTATTTGCTGTTGTTGTTGTTGTTGTTGTTTTAACTCTTTCAAAAGTCAAGTCAGTAGAAGATTTTGTGAGCTCCGGGCCACTCATACTGTCTCCTTTATGTGCATGGGTGTGACGGTTGAAACGCAGGAGGAGGATCTTGTGGGAGAGATGCTAGAGACCTGCTCACTCTCACACCAGCCATATCTTGTTTCTTTGGGGGTGTGGGGCGGGGGCAAGGGTGAGGAAGTCCTGAGAATCGGGCAGTGAGCTGTACGTGACTTCACGTCCCTCACTAACAGCTTCCCAAAGCCTTGGATGGATGCTCCAACGTGAAGCGATCTTGCCTGCCATGCTGGGGGAGTTCTTGTGGGAGGTCCCAGCAGGCTTTCTGAATCTAAGGAATAGCGGGGTCTATCTGGGAAGATGGGGCCACGGGATGGAGACCTGAGCTTTTTTGGGGTGGTGGGGGATCCTGAACCTCCTCGTTATTTTTCCACAGATCCATTTCCCTTGTTTTTCACAGGTGAAGAGAGGGTGACCTGCCTAAGGCCGGTTGCTTTTTGTTTTCTTTCAGCTGCCTGGAAATTGGAATTTTAGCTCGAAAATGAGCTTTCTTCACCCATTACTGAGGTTATGGGTACCCCAAATTGCAAAAGGTTACCGAACATTATGGTAGCTGAACAGCCTTCTAAAGTAGCAACATTACTCCAAAGGAAGGAAACTCTTGTGCGGGTGATAAAGAATGACCCAACTAGTCTTCCCAGACTAACCATTCTCAGCTCAGGTGATAGATGGCAGCCCCAGTGGCTTTCCAAGCTGTAGCCCTTGGTTTTGCATCGGGCCTTATACCAGATCTCGGAGACAACTGATTCCTGAGTTGCTGGGTCTTGGTTTCAGGATCTCAGAAGGCCCTCAGAAGGTGGGGCCACCTGGCGGATAAGTTCCGAGTTCAGAGCCCCCAGTCAGTTGATGGTGTGTGGCTGAGGCTGGCCCGGTGCAGCGTCTCTTGGCTCGTTCGTGGGACGTAGGGTCACAGACCCAGTGATAGGGCTCAAGAGGAAGGGTAGAGGGTATGTCCCCGCCTGTATGTCTCTCTCAGTCCCCATGGGTCATTAAAGCATCTGTACCAGAAGG